GAGACTATGGATTTAGTCTATTCTATGAAGAGAATTACACAGAAACGTGGCCTACCTCTTGTTCTGCTTGGTATAGTTTTACTGTGATGTTTCTCTGGAATCCAACACCCTTAGCGTCGTAGAATACCCCAAGACTGGTGATGACAATTGGGTAAAGGACTTTGAAGTGCACACTGACAACTCTGTCTTCTGAAAGCACCGAAGTGTCATCCTCTGGCAAAGTGAAGGCTTCAATTTCTTGATTTAGAACTATTGAAAAAAATTAACAAAGCGTGCAAAACAACCTCATCTAAAATAAGAAGAAAGCGGTCAAGACTCAGTAACTTTCTCAGATATTCTTATTTTGCCACATATGGAAAGTTTCTATATTAATTACCATCAAGAGCAGGTGCAGTGCATAAATGTATTTACACCTTAATCCTTAACATATTAGTTTGGAACTATATCCTATTTACTTCAAGCATTACTCAAATCAATAGGGATAGGTGGGATTGTAGTTTATTTTCTGGCTTTCTACAATGAAAAGGCAATTGTAACTTGCTAAACTATCACAATTACTTGAAAATATCTGAGCTTCTATTTAAATGCATTTAAGATTAACAATACTTCTGTGGATAAGAAATTGTAGCAGCTACATTTTGTATGACTGATTATGGAATGTAGCATAATATACCGTTTTTTCTCCCCAGACCTGCAGTTCTTACCTGGATTAGAGATATTCAGAAGTTTGCATGAATAAGGATCTTCTCTATCTTCCACTGGCACATTACATCCATGTGCACCAATTATAAACTTCACAAGGACACTAAAATAAGATTAACAACATTTATTTTCTCTCCTATTATCTTCAGAATGGATTCAACTTAACTAATTTTTAGAAAAGTTAACTGGTGTGTATTTTAAAGACTGTATAACATAATAAAAATATCTACCAGAACACACTTGTCCCACTTTTACTTATTTCCAAAAGATTAAAGGAACTAAAGTGGAGAGGAGATGCCATTCTGTATATTTAATACTTGTTTCTGTAGAATTGTGACAATTTCCCTCAATTATTTGAAACAGAAAATCAGAAAGTCGTAATTGTTTCAAGTTAATATTATTAAATTAAGAACATATATCTAAACCAGCCTTCCTGATACCACCCAGTTGTGCTGGGGATTTGGGGCTGAGGATGATGGGAGTGGTAATTCAGAAAAGCATTAGACAGGAAGGCTGTTCTAAATGTTTACTATATAATGAATTAATAATCACAAATAAAGCATATTAAAAATAAAACTAGCATAGAAACATATCCAATAGCCTGGTTCTGCTACCAATTTTTTAAATACACATACATCTTAATATATAGCAAAGTATATATTACTTTGCTATATATTGGAAAATTCCAGCTATACAGGCTAATTCAACTGAAATTGTTAAGAAAAGCAAGATTTTTCTTGATAGAACATTCAGAAAAGACATGCTGTAATTCTGCATAACATAAGGGTTGGGCTTTTATCCAAATGATTCTAAGAATAATTTGAAATATTTCACCTAAAGCAATGAGGACTTTTCCTAAATACCTATAAATTCTAGATTTGCAACTTCATGAGAGAAGGCAGTAAGTATGAGGAATTACCGATGGCTTAACGTTGGGTGCTGCTTCAAATGCCTAAACCAAGTATTCCTTATAGCATTCCGCAATCCATCATTGTGTCGTGCAGAGAGTATCCCTACAATGACGTCATAATGTTTTGGTTTCCAGTGAGGAAAGAAAGCCAGTAGACCTAAGAAGTATAAATTAAAAATGCCTTAGCAGAGAAACAAGCAAACAAGTATGCAGATCAGTGTTGTAAAAAAAACATTATTCAAATATTTGCAAATGTTTTAGCAAGAATTAACTTCTTATAAACAAGCCAAACCCATATAAAATGAGAAGGAAGGCTTTAAAAGAAAATATTTACTTAAATTTAGAGAAGGATATTAGTAATAGTTTCACACATCTTGATAACTGAAAAACTGGCACAGAGAATTGAATATGATACGAATATTGAATATGAATGAATATGAATATGAATATATGTATATGTATAAAAGCTTCTTACATTACAACATATAATGACAAGTTCTCTTCCTTAAAAGATTAATATTTATTTACTGTATTTTAACAAAAACGAATCAAAGTGTTTAGATAGTACAACAGATACAGCTTAGATGTGATGAAATGATTCTAAAAGTGAGAAGGTAAGCTGCTATACAGTTAATACAACTGTTAACCTAATCAAGGAGTGGAAAATGAGTGATATCCATGCTTTATAAATATTTCAGGAAGGTAGGGAACTTACGTCTTTCCAGATATTGCTGAATTACATTTCCCAGTACATTAGTTTTATCTGGCAATGCCAAAGCTAGGAAATGTACTTCAGAAGCATCTGGTGAGCCACAGGTTCCCATTTGCAGATACATACTCAGATATGCATATCTATACCCAACTACAGTGGTACCTCTAGTTACGAACTTAATCCGTTCTGTGACTCTGGTTGCAACTCGAGTTGGTCTCAAGTCGAGGTAAAGTTTCCCATAAGGTTCAATGTAAATACAGTTAATCCGTTCCACCCTCCGAATTTGGTCGCACCAAGAGGCAAATTTCCCCATAAGGTTCAATATAAATACAGCTAATCCGCCCTCTGAATTTGGTCGCACCGCGAGGTAAATTTCCCCCATAAGGTTCAATGTAAATACAGTTAATCCGTTCCACCCTCCGAATTTGGTCGCACCAAGAGGCAAATTTCCCCATAAGGTTCAATATAAATACAGCTAATCCGCCCTCTGAATTTGGTCGCACCGCGAGGTAAATTTCCCCCATAAGGTTCAATGTAAATACAGTTAATCCGTTCCACCCTCCGAATTTGGTCGCACCACGAGGTAAATTTCCCCCATAAGGTTCAATGTAAATACAGTTAATCCGTTCCACCCTCCGAA